GAGCACAATGACTTAAACATGATGACAAAAACAAGTAAAAAGAAGCAAATAAATGTTTGGAAATAGATAGATCATATTTCATTTATTCTTATGTGTATTTAATATTTCTGAAATCAGAATGAATCCAATAGAGTCTTACACTTGATAGCATGTCATAATTCAGTTGGCAGCACTTTCTTCATTTCTTAAATATATTTATAAAATGGGTTTTCTTACCAAAAATGATATCTTACACTAAAGATTTGGAAGTCCTTTCTCATCAGGTGGAATATTCAAGCAGAACCTATTTATGTCAGAACCTATATGAAATGTTGTACACAGATGCAACTGACTTGAGGGACAGCAGAAAGGTTTCCCAGCTCAACATTCACCTGTGATTATCATTACCTATGGTGGCTGCACTTCAAACAGAAAAGAGCCAGGTATACCAACAGACTATAAAAAAGCTAGAAGCAACTTTATAGGTCAGTTAGACCAGCCTCATTTTACTCCTTCTACAGAAGAAAATTGGCCTAAAGGCATGCAGTGATATAGCTCGCAAGCCCAGGCAGAACCTGAGTCTGACAAATCCTAGATTGGGTCTATTTCTATCATGGCATCCCATACTGATTCTATGTTTAGCATAGTCTCCTGTAAGCATTTTTTTAAAATGAAAAAAAAATTACAATCACTCTGTTATCTACTATTTCAATTGCATTTCTCTATTATCAAAAAGGCCTGGGTGGCTGTAACTTATGGGACAGGGTAAAGGGTATACTGAAGAACATACTTTGCTTTACAGATTTACTTAAAGGCCAAGCTGACTTAACTCTTGTGTAGAAAACCACCCTCATTTTTGAAGAAAGACGGTTGTGGGCAGTGTTGTGGGCAGGCACACATAGTCGTTCCCTAGGATCTGAACTTGGAACCATTCATGTAATACTTCTCACTTAAAGGTCTCTGCTCCACCAAAATGGGAAGAGAAGATAAAAAACATTTTAAATTACTTTTAAATCTTTTATTGTTAAGCCCTTTATTTTTAATTTTTGGTGAATATAGGGGCAAGTAGATTCTATTTTGAATATTTCTGATCAAGAAATTAGGGAAAATAATTCCAGAAGTTATTGAGATTCACCCCCAAACTCAGTCTTCTTTTGAGGGTGTCTAGTGGTTAGATCCATCTTTAAGTCATATACTGTTGAAGAGAAATTTCCTTAATCACCTGAGTAGTTTGTTTTTCCTCAACACCAGCCTTCCAAGGTAGATAGTTTAATAATTTTTAGTTAAAAAATGCGTTCAATCATATACTGGCTAATAATGCTTCTCTTGTTTAGCTTAATCCTCTCTTACTCTTATTCCCATCATATCAGTTTGTTCCTTTGTTTTTAGATCAGTGATTCTCAACCTTTTATTTTTCACCCCAACCTACTTAACAGATTTGTTTTTACACAAATGACACTTTGCAGTACTGACTCTCAATAATGCAAATGTCTTTCTCCATTTTCACAGACCTCTCAATGAACACTGCTTTAAATAAAATTGAATCAATTCCTTTACTACTGAACTTTCAGAGTCAGTCTGTAAGTGTCAATGCACTATCAGTGTTCTAGAGGAATATTCAATGTATGTTGTTTCCCGAATTTAAATGAGCAAACTTCACCCCTCCCCACTTATGGTGTAAGATGTTTGTTTATTCAGCAGTATTATTTAAAAAGTGAAAATGCCTGCACATCATAGAGCAATTGCTTAAAAAAATTAACAAAGTGCACACCATATTTTGTAAGGAAGATCTCATGCCCACTCCACTGTCTCTTTTGAAGCTCCTCACTACCCAAAGAAATGATATTCAAATATTACTCAATAAAATTTATTGGCATACTGAAAAAATTGTAAACACCTCCACTTTGGTGTATTCACACAATGAACATCCTTTGAGTGCTTATTCTGTGATCTGGAGTGTACATGGGGCTGAACAGATTTTTAAATCATGGGCTATATTTATCCACTATCAACAAAATAGGGAAATGGAGCCGAACCTGGTCTTTTCCTTCCCTCCCTATAATTTCCTCTGTTTCTAATTTGGTAGCAATCAAGTTTCAACTAGTTAATCAAATGTCTTTTGTGCGGCAGGTGCCAGGGTGTTTGTTTTCATTAGTGTACCAAATGCCATATTTAGGAACTTGGCCTTTTGGTTAACTGGCTACAAGCATGGCTTTAAACCATTAAATGTGTGTATTTAAACTCTGCATTTATTTTTACATCTCCCTCTCCAAATAATCAGGATGTGGTTATCTGTAAGATGATACATTATGACTTTTTTCCTATATACACCCAAGTACAAAAATATATGCCTCAGACATAATCATCAATATTGTAAACACCCATCATCCTGTGCCATTTATAAGATTGCAGAGATGGAGAAACCTGGTTTAAGAAAATGTACATAAAAATAGTTAAAGGAAATCCACATGGAAAGACATAAAATAGGGCAATTTTATACTTTGTAACCTGTTTTTAACATGATAAAAAATGAGGAAGGAAAACATCACAATTGTGTTATCTTCAATTGAATTAGAGAACTATTTTAAAAAGAGAGATGCCAGAAATATAAAACAATTCTTAAATAGTAATATTTTTAATATAGCTTCCTTTTATTGAGGAAAATGAAAGACCCATCAACAAAATAAGATAGAAAAATATGAATCAGTGGCTGATTTTCTCAAGAATAGGTAATGGAGTTTGGGGTTGGTATTTTTTAACACATAAGGTTGCATTCTTTCTCATTTTCCTACTGTGTCAATATAGAGGCATAATTATCATTTATTGTATTTTGATACTTACCAAAAAACTAAGTTCAAAAATCCATTTGTCAGGAAGAGGACACAAAATTCACTGACCCCTTCCAGAAAGGGCAGAATACAGAGGAGCAGTTGTAGCTAACATTATGTAGCAAGGTCCCCAAAAGGATAAATTAGAGATATAATGGAGAACTAATTTAGACTACATTGCATGAGAATTAAGATTATATATGACAAATAAATGTTAAGAGCAGTGTTAAAACATTTTATCTTCATTTTATTTATACTTTGTCTATATAAAACATTTACTTGTCTATTTTCTAGAAGATAGCATTTATTACTGAAATCTACATTGCAGTTTCATAATAACAGTATTTTAGGGAAGTGTTACAAAGAAAATCTTGGGTCATCCCAAAGAGAATATAATTACTATAGAAATATTTAGTAGTTTCATATGTGCTCTTTCACTAACAAATTGGGAATACTATGTGAGATAAAGAAGACATATATAGATGAACTCAACCCTCTCAAAGTTCCTTTGAGGTGAGAATTATGCCTCACTTCACAAATATGGAAAATAAAGCAAAATTCAGGTTGAATTGTATACACCGAGGTCACAGTAACACTGAAGCAAAAATGAGACACAAATCCAGTTCCTCAGATCATCCTAGAACTCCTTCCTTTTTGTTCCCAGGAGAATTCCCAATGATTTTTTAAGGGAGATAGAAATTTACTGAGACATCACATTCATAAAAGGTGGACTGGGGACTTCCCAATGCCATACTAGGTGGTGAACGCAAGCCCATTCTGCTGTAACTCACAGCTTGTGATCTCCCTCCCCCTGTACCAGTGGCCAGGCTGGCAGCCAGCAGGCCTAGTCTAAACCACAGATGAACTTGAATTGGATATGTAATGGTTTTCAATGTAAAAAGGTAAATGTATAAATGACCTATCTTTCTGCTTACCGCACTGAATTAACAAATGTGATTTTGACATATTTGTTATGCATGTATGTGTGAGTATATACACACATAAAGAGAGAGAGTGAGTGAGAGAGAGAGACCCTTATGTTTCCTCCATGATTCTACTTGCTCCCTACTCTCCAGCGAGGCAATCAGAGTCATGATCAAGTACCATTGGTTTATATGATCAAGTACCATATGCTTTAATTATATGTATAGATTTCTCAGATTTCTAAATATATGGAATTGCTTTGTGTATTTCCAATGTAAGTAAATGGTCGTATGCTATCTGTAGTGCTCTAGAAAATCTAATTTTCCCCAAAACTGTTTTTTTAATTCCATGTTTATAAATACATATAACATTTAGGTCATTTGTTTTAACAGTATATACATATATTTAAGTCATTTGCTTTAAGTCTATGGTATGAATATACCTCAGATGATATATCCATTTCTTCTTGAGTAGGTTAGTTACATTGATTCTGATTTTTTACAATCATAAACAATGAGGCTATGAACTTTCAGATACACGTCTCCATATAAACTCAGGCCCATTTATACTTGTGCATCTAGTTTTAAAATTTTTGTCAGTTATTTAAATTTTCCAAGTACTTATCTTTTTGTTTTACATGTATTGGATATATATTCCACCTTTTAATTTGTTTTTATTTTGTTTATTTTACCTGATCATACAGAATTTTTAAATTTTAATACAATGAAATCTTACAGAATTTTCTGTAAGGGATACAGTTTTTGAATCTTGCTGAAGAAACCCTTATATATCACAAGAACATAAAGATATTCTCCCATTGGATCTGTGGTGGTTTTGACATTTGGATTGAAATGCTTTTAGATGTAGCACATTCTCTCTGGTTCGCTGTAGACCTCATCAGGTCTTATTCCCTCACACTTGACCCATTTCACACATTTCCCCTTAGGTCCACGGGGCTGCAGTCCTAGGTTAGACAAAGAATAAAGTTATACAAAGGAGATTTCTCAGACTTGGCTTACTTCCAATTACATTATTATAGCTGTGGAACTCCAATCTACATTTCCTTGGAAATGAAGCCTTGATAGAATTCATTCTGGGAGATTGATGGGTCCTATTAACTATTACTTAAGTTTTGCAAAGGTGTACTCCAACATACAGAAGCTGAATAATTTGATTTATCACCTGTATATCATAAGCTTTACAGGAGTTTTGTTTTCTATCTTTATATGCCAAACTAACAATGTTAACCCTGGTGTGTGTGACTCCTAGATGCTGGACTGGAGATTGGCAAGTGCACATGTTATCCTGGCCATGACATTGATGCTGTGGGGCTCAGGAGAAGTGCTCTCAGTGGATGTAGCAACAGAGGTAATGGAAACTAGCTTAAGGGACTGTATATATAATGAATGCAAACAAGTTCTACTAATATCAGAAGCAGGGGATGCTGGCAAATAGGGGAATGCCTTGAAAACACAAAAGCAAAGGTTATTAGCATTTTTCCTATGTCTTATCCTCACTGTCCATTCAGGGAAAGCCAGGTATCTAAATGTTAAAAAGAAAAAAAACTGGAATAAGCAGTATTTGTATTCCTTGAACAGAAGTCATGACAGAAAAATTGATCATTTCAGCCTTATGTATAATTATATTAAATACATAAAGTTGAAATGTTTTTACGTGAAATTTGAAGCTTTTTATATGGCAAAATTTGACTAGTTTTGGCCAAACTTGTTATTACTATACAAATGTTTTCTTCTCGCTAAAGTACAAAGGAAAAAAAATGTGAACACATCGTCACAGAAACACAAGTGAATTTGGCTTATTTGAATTTATTAGAAATATTCTTTGTACTGAAATAAAATGAAGGGTCTGAAATGCATTTACCAAAGAGCAACTCTGGTATGAGTTCCATGATTTTTTTGAAGATTAAAAATATCTTTGCCCTGGCTGGTGTGACTCAGTGGTTTGAATGCAGGCCTGCAAACCAAAGTGTTGCCAGCTCAATTCCCAGTCAGGGCACATGCCTGTGTTGCAAGCCAGGTCCCCAGTAGGGGGCACTTGAGAGGCAACCATACATTGCTTCTCTCCCTTTCTTTCTCCCTCCATTCCCCTCTCTAAAATTAAATAAATGAAATATTTTTTTAAAAAAATCTTTAAAAATGAACAAAACTCACCCTGGCTGGCATAGCTCAGTGGATTGAGCACAGGCTGCGAACCAAAGCATCGCAGGTTCGATTCCCAGTCAGGGCACATGCCTGGGTTGCAGGCCAAGGCCCCCAGCAACCGCACATTGATGTTTCTCTCTCTTTCTCCCTCCCTTCCCTCTCTAAAAATAAATAAGTAAAAATCTTTTTAAAAAATTAAAAAAATAAAATAAACAAAACTCTTTTGTGCATATGTCAGTTGGAAGGATAAAAACATATGTTTTGGAAAATGCTCAGAGATAATGAAATATATCCTAGTTTTTTCCCCTTTGAATATTTGCCTCCTGTTCTTTAGAATTTCTCTCATGATTACAGAATTTTTCTCCTCTCCAGTTTCTATGTTGTCATACTTATATAGGGAAATGATAGAAGTTGAGATTTTAAGAGGAGATTGGAACTATATTGCAGACTGCACTGTAAGTAACAAAAAGCTAGGAGCAATTTTTAATTTTTTATACAATGGAAGGGTATTGGAGATAATTAACTTCATGGCAGAATTCAGGATAGAATAGAAAAAAAGAGGGAAATAAAAGAAAAAAGTTATAAGGTGATAAGCAGTGAAGTGGACTCAATATGGGAATCATAAAGAGCAGAGGGAAGAGAGTTTTTCCAGGAAGAGCCAGACTTGGTAACCCTAACATAACAATTAAGATAGACCCAACAGTTTTGAGTCTGGGTGTCGGACTATAAGAATTTCAAAGACAATTGCTGAAGTCAAGGCTAAAAGGCTTGAAAAAATGCTACTCTTTTGTTTTATTGAAGAAAACAAACAGAATGGAAGAAATAACTCAACAAGGACAAGAAGAAGAAGAGAAAAACAGTCTTGCCTAGGTCAAGAATCTGACACATGAAAGAATGTGATTAAAAGGCAGAGATCCTTGGAGATAAGTTTCTTCCCATAGGGAAATATTCTCAGGCTCTTGGAAAAGAAGTCATATGTGCTAGACTGCACAATGACTTGAGATTGTTAACAGGAGCATTTTAAAAATGCTGTGATTGGGCCTCGGAAAGGAAAAGACAATACTCACAAACTAGGCACCCATACTTTTATGACTTAGATGAACTACAAAAGGGCAATATGTGCAACAGACAAATAAATAAGAAATTGTACATGGGGCAATAAAGTCATTGAGAAAGTTCTGAGTCATTGTAGACACTCATTAATGTTTGTTGATAAATCAAATGGATAAAAATGGTAAGCCCCTGAGAGCAGAGACTGCTAGATTTTGTTCATCATTTCATTCCTTAAGTCTTATGCACAACCTGGTACATAATGAATGCCTAGCAGCTTGAATTAATAAAGAATGAATGGTGAAAACAATAGTATAAAGTTTAGTGTTTTTCAGAATTAATTCAGTAAATATTTATCAGAAATGAATTGAGTACTAACTATGAGCAAAATACTGAGATAGGCATTTAATAGAGCAAATAAACGACTATTTAGGCATCATTGCTGCCCTCAAGATACAATCTAATGCGCAATACAAATATATTGTAATCAATCTGTTACAAAGAAAAATGCAATGAGTGCAAAGATCAAAGAAGTATAACTGCAATGCTATGGGAATGACAATGAAGGATACAGTTGTTACTGGGAATGAATTTGAAAGAATGATCAGTTAATATACTAAATTTGGGAGGCAGGCATGGAGTTCTGTTGTGTGTGTGTGTGTGTGTGTGTGTGTGTGTGTGTGTGTGTGTGTGAGTGTTGTCTTTAATTTCTGCTCAGTGTACATCACCGCTATGCTATGTCTTTTGTCCCCAAAAGTCTCTCTGCATCATAATTCCTCAAGAAATCAAGTTTCATGACAAGCATGTCAGCTAAACTTAGCAAAAGCCAAATGCATAGGATTGCACATATTTGAGGTGAATGGGATCACCTTTCTTGCCCACAGGCTTTGGATGCTGGAATCCGAGATGCACAGTCACCACCCACAGTTAGGGAAGAGAAATCAGCAGCTGATCTGGCAGCAAAACTCATGCTTCTTGATGAACTGGTATCTCTGGAGAATGATGTGATTGAAACAAAGAAGAAAAGGAGCTTTTCTGGATTTGGGTCTCCCCTAGACAGACTCTCAGCTGGCTCTATGGATCACAAAGGTAAACAGAGGTGAGTGAACACTTGGAGAAGGAACATTTTCATTTTCTAATTCTTCTGCTCTGGGTTCAGAAAAATAGAATTCCACAGGAAAAAAAAATACAATGAAAGCCTTGTACATAAACAGATTTGACAGCATGTTAGCTAACTTGTGAGTTTAATAGTATGATTTTGGATGTAGCTGTTGAATGAGCAAAATGATTGCTACAGTATGGATGCTTTCACATTTTCGTCATAAAGTTTCTTGAGGAAGATACCATTGCTTGCAGATATAAAATACCTAAAGTAAGACATCACAGCATTTGGACAGTGAGCTATGAGATAAATATTATTGTTAATTGAGTTTTCTATGTATTAGAAATAACCAGAATACCATTTTTTTAAACCAGTGATACAAAGCTTCCTAAGTTATGTGAATAATTCCACTCTTCTATACAGAAAGGTACTGATTTCTTAGGACTTGAAGTCAGAACATGTGTATTTAAGTCAAATTTCTGATCATTTCCAGCAATGTAACTTGTATAAGAGTCTTATCCTCTGTGATCCTCAGTTCATTTATCTGTAAAATGGAGAGAATTCCTTACCTTTGAAAAAAATCAAATGAGCATTTTTTGCATGCCTTTTTCATATTTTTATTATTTTATTTATTATGCTATTGCAGTTGTCCCAATTTTTCCTTTGTGCCCCCCTCCACCCGGTACCCCCACTCCCTCTGGCAATTCCCCCCTTAGCTCATGTCCATGGGTCACACATTCATTTGCTACTCCATTTCCTGTACTATTCTTAATATCCCCTTGGCTATTCTGTACCAACCAACTTGTCCTTCTTAATTCCGAACCTTTTCCCCCATTCTACCCATTCTCCCTCCCAACTGATAACCCTACAAATGATCTCCACAGACAACAATGATGTCTGTTCTGCTTGGTGCTTAGTTTGTTTTTTAGATTCAATTGTTGATAGTTGTGAATTTATTCCTTTTTTAATGTTAATAATTTTGATCTTCTTTTTCTTAAATGAGCCCCTTTAACATTTCGTATAATAATGGCTTGGTGATGATTAACTGCTTTAGCTTTAACTTGTCTGAGAAACACTTTATCTGTCCTTTGATTCTAAATGTTATCTTTCCTGATAGAGTAATCTATGTTGTAGGTCCTTGATTTTCAGCACTTTGAATACTTCTTGCCAGTCATTTCTAGCCTGCAAAGTTTCTTTTGAAAAATCAACTGACATTGTTATGGGAACTCCTTTGTAGGTAACTATCTGTTTTTCCCTTGCTACTTTTAAGATTTTCTCCTTAATCTTTGGCATTTTAATTATGATTTGTCTTGGTGTGGTCCTCTTTGGGTCCATTTTGACTCTCTGTGCTTTCTGGACTTTCATGACTATTTCTTTCACCAAATTAGGGAAGTTTTTCTTCATTATTTTTTTCAAATAAGCTGTTAATTTTTTGTTCTTTCTTTTCTCCTTCCAGCACCCATATGATTCAAATGTTGGTATGTCTGATGCTGTTCCAGACACTCCTTAACTCATCCCCATTTTTCTGTATTCTTTTTCTTCTTGCTGTTCTTTTTTTAAAGTATACTTTATTGATTATGCTATTACAGTTGTTCCATTTTTTCTCCCCCTTATCCACTTCTGCCTAGTAACTCCATTCCCTCCAGCATCCCCACTTAGTTCATGCCCATGGGTCATACATATAAGTTCTTTGGCTTCTCCATTTCCTATACTATCTTAACCTCCTCCTGTCTATTTTGTACCTACCAATTATACTTCTTATTCCTTGTACTTCTTCCCCCATTCTTCTCCTTCCCCCTCCCCACTAATAGCCCTCCATGTGATCTGTATGTCTGTGATTCTGTTCCTGTTCTAGTTGTTTGCTTAGTGTGTTTTTGTTTTCTAGGTTTAGTTGTTCATAGTTGTGAATTTGTTGAAATTTTACTGTTCATAGTTTTGATCTTCTCCTTTTTCATTTCACATAATAAGGAGTTGGTGATGATGAACTTCTTTAACTTTCCCTTATCTGGGAAGAACTTTATCTGCGTTTCCATTCTAAATGATAGCCTTGCTGGATAGAATAATCTTGGATGTAGGTCCTTGCTTTTCATGAATCTGTTCTGATTAAGGATTGTATCTGATTCTCATTTTTTGTATTCTTTTTTCTTCTTGCTGTTCTGATGTATTTTTCTTATGTTCCAAATAATTGATTTGATTCTCAGCTTCATCTACTCCACTGTTGATTCCTTGTAAATTTTTCTTTATTTCACTTAGTGTATCTTTCATGTCTGCTTGGGTCTTTTTTTTTTTATGCTGATGAAGTGCCCAATGAGTTCCTTGAGCATCCTAATAACCAGTGTTTTGAACTCTGTAGCTCATAGGTTGCTTATTTCCATTTTGTTTAGTTCTTTTTCTGGAGTTTTGTTCTGTTCTTTCATTTGGGCCATATTTCTTTGTCTCCTCATTTTGGCAGCCTTCTTGCATTTGTTTCTATGTACTAGATAGGGCTACTTTGACTCCCTGTCTTAGTAGCGTGGCCTACTGTAGAAAAGCACACTTGTAAGTTGGATGGGGCAGAGCCTTAGGTAATCACCAGGGTGGGGCAACCCATGTGAACCAGGTTTATGGAGTTTCAGATATGGTGCCTCCACTTCATGGCTCTGTGTAGGGAGGGTTCAGAAAGAGGCCTATGGCCTCTGCCTGGCCTCTGGAGTTTTGTCCAGGAAGAAGCTGTCCCCCAACTCTCACCCTGATGCCAGACACCAGTATGCCACTGGTGCCCTTGTAGCTCCTTCCCCAGTGCTGGAGCCCCGAGGGAGTGAGTCTGAGTAAGACCTAAGTCTATTGCAGGCTCTTGAAGAGGCAATGCCTGAGAATTCTGCAATTTCTTCCACTGCCCCCATTGCCATTGATTTTCACAGCTAGAAGTTATGGGAACTTATCTTCCTAGCACTGAAACCCTGGGCTGGGTGGCCTGGTGTGGGGTTGGGATCCCTCACTCCTGAGGTATCTCCTGATTTCTATCCACCACATGTGGGAATAGGGCTGTATGTTCCACATCTCCATGTCTCCACACCTCCTACCTGTCTGGATAATTATGATTCTTTAATCCCTTGGTTGTCAGACTTCCAGACAACTCAATTTTCTGACAGTTCTGGGTAATATTTATTTGTAGTTTAGTTGTGATTTTTGCTGTGGTTGTGCAGGAGGCTGAGTCATGTTTACCTATGCCTCCATCTTGACTTCCAAATGCACACTTTTCAAGCTGTTAGTTATTGTAACAGAATTAGAATAATTAAATCTCCCTTTAACCATTGATAACTGTCAGTACTTTAAAACAGTCACTACATACATTTCATTTCTACCCCCTGAATACCTGTTCCTCATGCAATAAATTTCATTTAACAATGGCACAGGAGACCACTCAATTACCAAAGTCTGGCACTTTTTTTTCTTTTTCTTTTTTCCCTTTTTTCTTTCTTTCTTTTTTTCTTTCAAAGTCTATTTGGGGACTTTACAATAATTTCTTTTTCTCAGCAGGATTCATTTTGCTCACTCTAAACATTCTGTTTTTCACTAAATTCTCTAAATCATACTTGTTTTATGTGTTAAATATCTCCAGAACTTTCTTATCCACTAAGACTTTATTAATTCTGGCCTAAATTATCCTTTTCAGATTTTTTATTTCTTTAGTCATTTTTCATCTTCACTTCTACGACCATCACCACTTATTTCCCATGTACTTCTTATTCCTCTGGGTGGGGGGCGGTCATCTAACACAAAAATCTTTTTGTGAAATGTCCCTATTGCTTACAAGATAAACACAAACTTCTTGATAAAATCCTATGAAGGATTCACAGGCTGGCACCTCATTCCTTTGTGCACTCATCACTCATCTCCATATCCTTTGCTCCAGCCTTGCCTAGTTACCTGTAACTCTATGACGTGTCATACCTATTCATGGCTCCATGACTTTGTGTGCTCAGTGATGCCCAGCATACAGGATGAAATTTGCTGGACTCCTGTTCTGAAAGATTCTCAAAGCTATGCTAGGAAGTAAAATCATCTCATTTATCCCACCTATGCTTGAGAAATAATCTCACATCTGCTTTTTGAAATTCAGACCCTATTTTAAAGAAACAAATACAAATGAGCTCCACTTATGTTCTAGGCACTGTATCAGTATATGGTGGGAAAGAGGAGGAAAATCTAGTCTCCTTCCCTCAAAGAAGCCACATCCTATTAAGAAATATAACAATATTTATAACAAATTGTAACACAAAGCAAAAAAACATGTGTAAAGAGCAATTTATAAAGAAGGCTGTGGAAGTTCAAGGGATAAGTGCAGAATATTGTACCTTCTAATAAATATTACTTCTTTGAATCCTGGGTCTTGCAACTACTAAATAATTTGAAAATTGATACATAAATGTTGAATATTTGTTAAATATGTAAATATTTACATATGAATTTACAATATCATATATACCACATGTATTACATACATAGTATATTTATGGCATATATCATGTATATTTATGATATATTATAAATATATTACATTGAGTTTTCATCATAATAATTTATTTAAGAAGTGTAATAGAGACTTTATTAGGAGATAGACTCTACCTAACATTGCTCAACTTGCAAGAGATAAAGGGAAATTAGCAAGAATTTAATTACCATTTGAGCAGATTTTTATATATAAAGGCTAAAAATAAACTATTATAAAAGTAAAAAATATTGTTCTCATGAGTACTTCCTGAGGAAGCTACTAAATGAGTTCTTTCAGGCAACTGAAATGACTGGAGAAATATCGTTATAAGAATTGGTGTGGTGGGCATAACTTTAGAATTGATGGTTGCAGGAAAAAGTGTCATGTGTTATCCAGTTTGATACAACAAAGTTTCAAATGATTCAGAGACAATAATGAGAACATACAAAATTTAAAGTGAATTTTTATTGCTTCATAGCTATTAACTAGAAATCAAAGAATTTTGCAACAGTTTCTTGGGGAC